CAATCTTTTATATAAATAACTAATTGTTAAAGTTGTAAATTTATCAATCATACATAATTTTAATGACAATCTATTTTTTTATAAGAATGACATACATATAAAGGTTTGTAATTTTATATAGTAATTTGATTTTAATATACATCATAACAATACAAATATTACTAACAAAAACAAATGATTTTAATATCAACTCCATAGATTTATCCATCCATTGTATAACCCTAGAAAAATAAGATGTCTTTAATTTTTTTCAGTGGTTCTAGAAGTTTATTTCTTGAACAATGGCCATTATGTGCTAAGATAAAATATGATAAATTATATAACATAAAGATTAAAACCAAACATAAAATATAAGAAACTAGTTAATAGAATAATAAGTTTTCAACCTTTAATCAATATATTTGATTTTTTTTCTATCTAAATGCAAAGTTGCAAGAAAACTATAAATATTAAGCTTTATATAGGCTTAGAGTGTATAATTTTGTTTTAGCTTTAGTGCTTTATATAGTAAAAAACAATGAAAATATTATTATTTTTACATTCATTAAAATCTTATTCTTATAAATATTCTATTTAAGTCTCATTTCCTAGGTTTATGTTTTGTTTATAGCATGTGAGTAAGGAGGAATGAAAGAACAAGTGGTTTAAAAATAATTTCAATCAAGTTAGAAACACAATAGACATAAGATTTGAACATAGAAGTGGGAAAAAACAAAATCCTCAAACTAAGAAATGCTACTCTTTGACAAAAATGTTTTGCAATGATTTTTTCTAAATAAAAAGTTTTCTTAGAGTTATTACAAGTTATGAGCATGTTCTAACCATAAGGATGTGGCACAAATAACAATAGAACAACAATAAACATATCAACAAAGGCATGATGTGATAATGATTCATATAAATAATAACGATAAGAATTAAATAGTAATTTTGTATTGTTGAACTCATCCTTGATATTTACAAATTATGTTCAGTCTGATAGAGATACCACTCATCATATAACATCAGGTCATTTGTTTTTTCAGCAAATAAACCATAGGTATGTATAACTAATGGTGAGGCATTGAGAATAACAACTTTTAAAAAGATTTTTATTCTTACTTTACTATGTAGGATAATTAATTTTTTATTTGTCCCAAAGTTTTCTAGACACATTTTTCCATTTTTAAACTTGCAAAGGATGGAGTTTATGCATACATAGGTAATAATCAGATGATCAAACAATAATAAATTTTATTTATAGACACATATATATTGCTCAAGCTATTCCAAAGAATGGACTTTTTTTTCTTCCTCTAATCTTTATTAGTGCTAATATTGCCTCATTGTCTAACAATTTGACTCTATAACTTTGGCATTAAAGACTGGCATATGCAAGCAATTAATGGGCCAAAGGCACTTTCACATCACATACTATATTTGAAAGGATCAAATACAAACATATGAGGATTGTCCAATATAAAGAAAAAGCTACTTTTAAAAAAGGTCACATATTTGGGGAACCTCTCCATATAAATCTTTGCATGGAGTTTGTTAGTTCTTACTAATAGTGGACAACTTTAGTCACATCATTATGGTTTCTTTCCTTAAACAGAAATCAGATGCACTAAAAGCATTTCATGATTAGATCTAGATAAAAGAAAAAGAACTTGATTGATTAATTCACATGCGTAGAGTAGATGATGGCTGGGACTTTTCTTAGCAAAATTTAAGACTATCCTAGCTTCACGAAGAATTTCACTCTAGATCTCAGCACTATAAAAACATGGCTAGAATGGGCTTGTGGAGAGGAAAATGCTCATAGTTCTTGATATATCCCATGTGATGTTAAATCCTGTGAACACAATTGTTCATATCCAAAACATTCTTCCCCCCAAGGCAACTTTGAATAAGACACCAAAGGAACTCTAGAATGGTAATAAACCTACACTTTCACTTTTATGGGTGTTTGGTTGTATTGGATACTTATAAGTCTCAAATAAAGAATACAGAACAAAGTGGCAAGATCGCTCCATAAGATGTATTATGCTTTGTTACAGTGATACTATCAAAGGTGAATACCACATATGGATTTTCAAATAGAAAGAGGTTTTAGTATGCAGGATGGTGTTCTTCAAAGAAATGATTCTAGCATATTCAGTTTCCTCAACAAACAAAATCACCAACTCTAATTATATTTCACCTTCAAGTCTAACCAAATAGCTTCATGGATGCAATGAATTTCCTAGTACAAAAACATCACTATCACCTTATAGACTGCCACTTCTTTTAGAACCTCCACCAAAAATCCCACCACTACTGCTGGAGGATATACACTTGGACAACTCCATCATTGAAGGTCATTTACAAATTGGTTTTATGATCGTGAATGCAGAAAGTACACCAGTTTCTAAAGATGCTCCCGAGTGACAAAATGAAGTTGACAGTGATAGCACAGCTCTAGATCCCACACCTCGACATTCAACATGAGCATAGAAGCCTACACAAGCAATTCTATATTCTCATGCATATGCAGCATGGGTACAACGTTTTCATTAGTAAGCCACGATGAGAGCCAAATACACTACTCGGTTAGAGAACAATTCTAGGATATTAGTTCTTCCCAAAGAAGTACGTACAGGATTAGCAATTGTGCCATGCAAATAGGTCCACAAACTCAAGTACCAAGAGACAGATGAGATAGAACGGTATAAAGCACATCTAGTAGCTAAAGGATACAAACAATATGTAGAGATTGATTACCATGAGATTTTCTCACATGTAGTCAAGATGTTTTTTATATGCAATTGCTAATCCCTTGAATCTGGGCTTAGAGCAGATGGCTATGAAGAATGCATTTTTAAATGGGGAACTTGAACGACTGGTGTACATGCATACCACCATGTTTTGAAGTACGAGGAAAAAAACACTATATGTGCGAACTTAAGAGAAAACTTAAGCAATCTCCTAGGATATGGCACAATACATTGAATAAATTCTTTTTGACGCTTGGTTTTTCCAGCACAGAAGTAGATTAGAACCTCTACCATTATATTCATGATTCCTTTCTAATTCTGGTCTGTGTCTATGTTGATCGTATAGTGGCAGGGAAGACAGAAATTTTAGCATGGCTTAAGGCACAATTATCTCAGAAAGTAAGGATGAAACTTGGGTAAGCTTTCATTCTGCCTTGCCACAAAATACTACGTGTTCATCAACATATATATATTGTAAACTTTGTAAAAAAGTATCAATAGCTTTTTACACAGCACAATGCTCCTACACTTGCACTACAATGCTACAAATTATCAAAAGTACATGCTTCACATTTTGAGGGTGAAAAGCAGGAGATGGCAATGCTACCATACCAGAATATAGTTGGAGCACTCATATACTTAGCCACAGCAAGCTGTCGCGACATAGCAGCAGTAGTCTCTCAAGTATGCCAGTTCATGCAAGATCCAGGGAAGCATGATTGGTATGTGGTGGAGTGTATCTTCAACGATGTGAAGCAAACAGCAACACTCTACATTGAGTACAAGAGCACAACATCTGGGGAAATTGGATCAGAAGGTGTGATACCTCATGGTATGGTGGATGCAGATCTGGCAGGAGATCTTGATGATTGATGATTTACAACCAGGTACATTTTTAAGTTTTCTTATCGTGGCACAGTCAGAAGCAAAGAATGGTCGCATTATCCACATGTGAGGCAGAGTACAATGCTGTGACAGAAGCAGTGAAGGAAGCACTCTGGATTTGGAGGTTAGTCCGGGATATTGTTTTGTCGAAGGCAACACAGTGTGTCTACAGGCAGTACACCACCGCAAACAAGCATTTCAACATGCTCCATTACTTCATTCAGGAGTGAGTTGAACAAGAGGAGATCTTACTAAAGCACATATCAACAACCAATATGGTTGCTGATCTACTCACAAAAACTATTTTTCCTATCCAACAGTTCGCGAGACTTCGATCCAAGCTAGGCTACATCAGCCAAGGGGGAGTAAGAAGCATGCGATCAGACCTTCAACCAGAATCTGATCGAAGGGGAGTGTTGGAGTAGGACCGTGATCGAAGGCAAGACTGAAGGTGCTTGAGCTTGTATAAAACCAACAGAGGTTTTAGGCTTAATTAAACATTTTGATCGGGCTAGAAGGATTTACTCACACTTCCCAGAAGCATCAACTTCTTTGGCAGAAACTTATGCCCATCTTGGACATATCTACTTGGCGACAGGGAAAAGCAAGACCGCAGTATTGATTCTTTCGCATGGTGTGCAACTTATAAAAGATAAATTTGGCATGGATCATCGGAGACATGCTAAACACAATGGGGATTGCCAAAAGGAACCTGGACCTTTCTTCCGAGCAATTTGAGTGAGCAGAGGCAGAGCATTTGGGTGCTGGACATCCAAGCACAGCAAAGGCAATACTACTTGCTCAACTGGTAAAACTTTGTCTTGGTTTTGTCTTTCTGTAGCTTGAAACTCGCTCTTTGCAGGGACGAATGCGAGATGGAGATTCTGGAAGGACAGCCGGACACAGGACCCAACGAAAGTGGTTTTACGGCGTTGTATGATTTTATGTTTCCCTGGCTATTGTCCTCATGAGATGAAACCACGGATTTCCAAGGAGATTATCAAAAGTTTGTTTCGTAGACTAAATTCACTTAGTAACATTCTTGTCAAGAACTACTAGTAACTATAGGCAAGGTTCTTGCTGTTCATGGATTCTTGGCGGCATCGTTTCCTCGCTTTGATCGCAATGCCCAACACCAGATTAATCTGACGGCTAGTCTTGAGCCTCTGGTGTGTTTTCTACCCAGCACACCCAAGCAAATCAATCAAGCAACTGCCCTATTCCTCGTTGACTGCATTGCTGGGAGAAGGGGATAACGTAGCTTCTCTAGGCAATGATCGATTTGTTTCCTATTTGGGTCTTATGATATTTGGATTACAATTTATTCCTCATGTCCAGAACTCATGGGAAAGATGCTTGAGAGAAGCACACAAGACTTTGTCAAGAACTACTAATAACACTATAGGAGAGTTTCTTGCTGTTCGAGAGAAGCACATATGGCGCAGAGGTCTCGGGCTCCAGTTTCACCACATGCTTGGCAGCATCGTTTGCTCCCTTAGCATCGCAATGCCCCAACACCGACGTCCAGTCTTGAGCCTCCGGAACATATGGCATGTTTTGTATAAGATCACGGGCATCCCCCAAATGCCCGGCACGCCCAAGCAAATCAATCAAGCAACTATACTGCTGCTTGGAGGCCTTCCGTCCTTGATCGATCTCCAAAAAGTTGAAGTACTTGCATCCTTCCTGGAGGCTCCCAACGTGACTCCGGCCTAGCAACAGGCAAGTGAAGGATACCTCATCGGGCTTCACTCCCTCGAGCTGCATTGCCTGGAACAGGTCCAAGGACGTTCCACGCTGTGCCTGCATTGTCAGCATGGTGTTCCACGTAATCACGTCACGGCGTGGCATCTCACGAAACGTTTTCCAGGCTAGCTGCGGATGCCCGTATTGGGCATATGCCACCAGCATGGCGTTCCATGCCGATGTGTTAACTCTTGGCATGCTCAAGAACAACTGCAATGCTTCCTCTAGCTGGCCAGATTGGGCATAAGCTCCTAACATTGCTGTCGTTGCGATTTCGTCTTTATTTGGGGTGTCGTGATACAGACTTCTTGCTATTTCAAAATGACCTTTAGCGGCATAAGCTGCAAACAAAACTGTCCAGGAGATTGTGTCTCGGTTAGGCATAAGATTAAACACAAAGTTTGTAGTTTCTAAATCAGAGATCTGAGCGTAAGAGTACAAAAGTACGTTCCAGGCGATTTGATCGTGCTCTGGCATTGAATCAAACACAGCTTTAGCTCGAAAGAGATCCCCGACGATAGCAAATCCCGTTAGCATTTCGGTGCCAGATACCACGTCTTTGGATGGCATTGAGCTGAACAGATGCATAGCCTCGTCGAGGTTCCTTCCAGTGGAAGAATAGACAGCCAACATAGAATTTAGCGAGAAGAGATTCACATCCTGCATTTTCTTGAAGAAAGCCTCGGCCTTTTCGAGATCGCCACTCTTTGCAAAGCCGCTGAGCATCAGATTCCAGGAAACCATGTCCAGCACGGGCATTTGCTCGAAGAATCCCACCGCTTGATCCAAATTCCCAGACTTTGCGAGCGCCGACAAGAGAGTGTTGTACGAAACAAGGTCTCTCTCCGCCATGGCATCAAACAAGCTCCTCGCCTTGTGGATGTAGTTATTCCTGGCATATGCCGACAGCAGAGTATTCCAAGACACAAGGTCTTGCTTTGGAATCCCATCGAAGATCCTCTTGGCATCTTCCACGAACCCATTGTCCGTGCACGCGGCAAGGATGGCGTTCCACGATAGCGTGTCCCATTCGGGCATATTCCCGAACACGAGTCTTGCCTGGTTTAGATTCCCAGAGTTCCCGTACGCCGCCAGGATGCCGTCCCACGAGAGAAGGTCCACGTACGACATCGTGTCGTACAGGGTTTTTGCTTTGGCAGCATCGCCGTGCCGGCCGTACACCGACAGCATTGTGTTACAGGTGACAAGATCTTTGTCGGGGATCTTGTCAAAGAGGACGGTCGCCTCGTGTACGTGCCCCCTCTGGGCATATGCTGTTAGCATCGAGTTCCATGATACGAGGCTCCAGTAGGGCATCGAATGGAACAAATCTCTAGCTTTTTCAAGATGTCCGTTTTGCGCATACGCAGCTAACAGGGCATTCCATGACACGAGATCCTTTTGGGGCATTTGATCAAACACAAGCTTTGTTGTGTGAATATCCCCAGATTGGGCATATGCCGTGAATAAGGCTGTCCACGAGATGATATCCCGTTGCGGCATTTTGTCAAATAAGACTTTTGCTTCTTGGGCCAAGCCGTCTCTGGAATATGCCGAGAGCATTGCGTTCCATGAGACGTAGTCTTTAGTCGGCATCTGCTCGAAGATTCGCCTGGCCTGTGTGATATGCCCGCGTTGGGCATACGCTCCAAGCATGAGATTCCAGGAGAAGCTGTCCTTGGTGGGCATGGTGTTAAAGATGTGACTTGCGCTGTCGAGGCAGCCGAGCCTTCCAAACATCTGGACGAGCATGTTTGAGACGAGGAGCCATTCCTTGGGGGAGAGCCTGCGCTGGTAATCGCGGGAGACAATGTGGGCGTGAGCATTGTGAGCATCTGGCAATGTCTTGGAGGACTTGATTCTATGTATACAATCCGAAAGCTCCAATGGCATTTGTGTGCATTTGAAACTCCCGAGCCCTGACCACTTTTGAGCTCTCGAGCTGAAAAAGTCAATCCATGTCAACTCCGTCAATGCAATGTGTCAATCCGATGTCAATGAGAGTCAATAAAAGTCTTTAAAGACTGTGTTGGACTTTCGACATCGCTCTCTCATGAGCGGGACTAGTCACTTTCTGACGCTTTCTTCACCCCATTCGATTTCTTCCGCCAGACTAGACCAAGATCACCATCCGTTGTGTGACCGCGATTGCGATCCTCCTCCACAAGACGAGTTCTCGCGTGAGGATCTCCAGGAACTTCTAAGTAGAAAGGATCCAGCCATCTACACTCACCTCCTCCAACAATGTGGGAGCGCGAAGGCTCTCAGCGCAGGGAGATTGATCCACTCCCACATCGCCAGCAGCGGCAAGCTCGCCCTCACGCGCCTCGCAAACCACGTCATGATCATGTATAGACAATGCGGGCAACTGGAAGAAACTCTCGCCATCTTCAACGATCTGAAAACAAAGAACGTTTACTCATGGAACATCATGCTGGGCGCCTTCGCGGACAAGCTCCAGATTCATCACGCAAAGCAAATCTTCGACCAAATGCCCGAGCGGAGCATCGTGTCATGGAACTCTATGCTCGCGGCATATACCCAGGCGGGGCATCTGTCCGCGGCGCGCGGTATCTTCCTTGCCATGCCGCGGCACGACGTGGTGACGTGGAATGCGCTGGCCTCGGGCTACCGCGACGCCGGCGAGCCGCACGGCGCTGTCGAGGTCTACTTGACCATGCTGCTCGACGGGGCGTGCCGCCCGGACCGCGTGAGCTTCATTGGTGCGCTGGACGCGTGCGGGAGAGCGGGGAATATCCTCTGCGGCGAGAGCATCCACGCCAACGCCGTGGAGGCGGGCTTCGCATTGGCGGTCAGCGTGTGTACCGCGGCGGTGGACATGTACGGCAAATGCCGCCGCGCGGATCGTGCCAGAGCGGTGTTTGACGCGGCTCCGTACAAGAGCGCCATCTTGTGGACGGCAATGCTGGCGGCACACGCCGCCGCCGGTGACGTGGATGCCGCGCGGTATCTCTTCGATGCCATGCCGTACGAGAGGAGCGTGGTGCCATGGACCGCCATGGTGGCCGGCTACTCGCAAAACGGCCATGGCCTCGACGCACTGCGACTCTTCCGCACGATGGACCTGGAGGGCGTGGCGCCCAACCGGGTAACTTTCATCACTGTGCTAGATGCTTGTTCGTTGGTACCGGCATTTACCCCGGGTAGAATCGTCCATGGTGAAATCCTCAACCGGGGCATCTCACTTGACGTGGTGCTGGGGACGTCGCTAGTGGGGATGTATGCCCAGTGTGGGCATCTGGAGTACGCGAGGGATCTCTTCGATTCGCTTCCCGCCAGGAGCTTGATCTCGTGGAACTGTATGATCTCGGGCTATGCGCGGGGCGGCCACGCCGATCAATGCCTCGATCTCCTCCAATCGATGCAAATCGAGAGCGCTGCGTCGCCCTGCCGATCGACCATCATCAGCATTCTGTTCGCTTGCAGCCACGGCGGGGCGCTGGATCGAGGGCTGGAGCTGTGGCGATCGATGGAGATGGACCTGGCGATCGATCGAGAGTTTGATCACTACGTGAGCCTGCTAGATCTGCTGTGCCGGTCGGGGAAGATGGAGATTGCCCGAGACGTGGTGGAAGGGATGCCCTACAAGCCCGACTCCATCGCATGGACCACATTCCTCGGCTCTTCTAGCATCAACGGTGGCGATTGACGGAATTTGGCGGCTAGGAAGTTGGCGGCCAGTCCTCCACGTGGCACTATCTTGTGCGTTGGTGATGTTTTGGGATTCCCGTGGTAGAATGGCGAGCGAGTTAAACGAGCAATGGCCGCAGGGTTTAATCAATTTGTCCGTCCGTGGAGTAGCAGCTTGATGCTACTGCTGATTTTGGTTTGATTTGTGAAGAAACAGGCGCTGCGATCGCTCGATCTGTAAGTTCATCGATCTTTTCACCGTTTGGTCACGGAATCTTTCTCCGTGTAGAAAGAGGCCGCGATTAAATGGTCGAGATGCAGTCGCTTAAGGGCAATGCGATGAAGCCCAAGGGAAGGACGAAGTTTTTCTCGGTTTTGCTGGGCATCTTGTTTGTGGCGATGGGACTTGGTAAGAATCATACAGGCTTTCTCTCTGCAAAAACAAAATCTTTTGCTGTTGCAGCCGCGTTTTCCCAGCTCCTCTTTCTCGGGAGAATTGATGATCCTGGCAGTACGTACTCTTTCTTCCGTGGTTCTCTCCGTGTGATCAGTTTTCTTTACTTGTGCTTAGGTGATTCGCGCTGGAAGGATGACAAAGAAGCTAGATTGCTTCGCATAGGTCTCGTGAGTTTCTTTATCCAAGATCAGAGTTCTATGGTTTCTAACTTTGTTTCCTCCATAGGTGAAACCCGAAGTCCTAAACTGGTCTCCCAGAATCACTTTGCTACACAAGTTTTTGAGCGCGGAGGAATGCGATTACTTGATAGCCATTGCCGGGCCGAGGTTGGCGAAGTCCACAGTCGTAGACACAAGCACAGGCAAGGCAAGGCATGTCTAAACTCGAAAAGTAAAACACTCCTCTTTTGCATGAAAACTTATACTAGTTTTATGGAGCAGGGAATCGAGAGCAAGGTCCGGACGAGTACAGGAATGTTTCTAAGCAACTATGACAGACGTTATCCCATGATTGAGGTCTGCTCTTTGAGATCACAAGGACGTTGTCATGGTTTTTGATCTTCTTCTCGTTCTGGTTCTTTGTGTTTCCAGGCAATAGAGCGTCGTATTGCTGTTTACTCCATGATCCCTGTGGAGAATGGTGAACTCCTCCAAGTTTTGCGGTAATTTCTATCTTTCGAGTGTTTGAAAGTCATTTTTCTTTCTGAGTCGATTTTTGTCCTCGTAGCTATGAGCCGAATCAATACTACAAGCCTCATCACGACTATTTCTCAGACCAGGTTGCTTTTAGCGTAGATTTTATTTTATTTCTCATACTTCTTCGTGCCAGTTTAATCTAAAACGAGGAGGCCAGCGCGTGGCAACGGTTCTTATGTATCTCAGCGACGTCGAGGAGGGAGGAGAGACCATATTTCCATCGGTACAGTGTCTACTTCTCAAAATGCTCTACAAGTATTCATTCCTATCAATCTTTTTGTTTCCAAAGGTTGGGGATGGCGAGTGCGAATGCGGCGGCGAGCTTAGAAAAGGATTGTGCGTGAAGCCAAGGAAAGGCGATGCCATCCTATTCTGGAGCGCTGTAAGTAGTGTTGCTTGTCAAAGGATTTTCTTGAAAGGCTTTTGATTGGTTTTTCCAGGCTCTTGATGGAAATGTCGATAGCAACAGTCTCCATGGAGGCTGTAGTGTTTTGCGAGGAGAGAAATGGTCCGCCACAAAGTGGCTGAGACAATCAAGATTCAGCTAAAAGCTCTAGCACAAGTTTTGTTGTGACATACCATGAAACACTGTAAATACATATTCATACATACATAAAAATTTTAATTACTCTTGATATTAAAAGTTTAGCGGACGAGCATGGCAGTGGCATTAGGATGAACAGCTAAACCCTAAAAAACATGTATGTACGTATGAAATATCACAATCCAAGCCAATGCAATATATAATAGGCACTCCAAAAAACATGTATGTATGTATGAAAGGTATGGAAGACTAGAGGAAGATTATGTTATGGCCATTATTATTATTATCCAAGTCAGATAACTACTAAAGATGCCTAATAAAGAGTGACTAAGTATTCATTGAGTTTATGAAAATTCTTCCTCATCCTGTTAAGCATATTTGTAAGACATTTATTCCAATTAAGTTTAGGCTTTTATTTATGACAATTATAATTCATATACAAAATCTATGAGGAAATTTTATAATTAATGCTATATAAAGTGGAGTGTAACATTTTCATACTTACTTAAGGAAAATTTTTACAATGCTAAATTCAAAATAATTTACTAAAGTTTTAATAACTATATATAGCATTAATTTATAAAATTTCTTTAGAATAATTAAAGATATCTTTTTAAACCTAAATTTGTAAATAAAAATTTTTTAAACTATTTATAAAAACCTTCTATGAAGTTTTTATTTTCAAAATAAATTTATTTATTATTAAAGACCTTCTTTTTATTTTTAAAATTTAAGGTGTCACATATATTAACTATAAATAAATAAATAATTTTTTAAAGGTAATAGTTGCATGATAAAACCATAATAAAGCTTCAAATAGAAATAGACTTCTCACCTCGTGATGAAGAAAAATCACCTTTGAAGTGTGTAATTGAATTTCCACTCAGTTGTAGATAATATGGTAATGCTTAATTGGGTGATAATTGAACTTTAAATAATATAGGTAAACCCTAACTTAATAAACACAAAAATTTTCTAAGTGTTAGACTTTTATATCAAAATATTTTAAAAAAACAAAATTGATATTTCTATTTATATAGAGAATTATCTTAAGTTGCTAAAATATTTGCAATAACAATCACATAATTACTATATGCATTTAATAGTAAAGTGATATTTCTTAGTTTATTTGTAAAATATTATTTTACAATATAAAATGAAAGATTTTAACCACTAAGTGTGTGACTAATACAATTAAAGTTTTTATTATTTAGGCAAAAGTATTCTTATTATTAAAAAAACTAGTTTAAATTATTATACTAACAACAATTCTTTATTTCTTGGACTTTAAAATTCCTTTTATATTTATATTTTGCCAAATCTCATATCATTTATTTATAAATATTTATGAAACCATTTATTTAATTATGTAAGATCGAGATTATAAAGTTAATAGAAAAGCTAGAATTAGTCGATGATCCTCATGTAAAATAATGGAATGACTTTATAAGGGGAGAATAAATAGAAAATAAAATATTTTTATAAAACATATTAAAAACACTTTTATATTTTAATAATGAACTTATTATTTGAGAACAGTATAATATCACACATGCTAGATGAAGAAGTAAAGTGAACTTTTGAGAATGTTCCCAAGTTTAGCTATAATGCTTATGCATATGCTAATTTTATAATATAAATTGTTAAATTAATCATAAATATTTGGAAAATATATAATAAGCAAAGAAATTTGGTAACATTTAAAATTCATGATAGTTTTTAAGAAATGATGACAGACTAAAACTCTTAAATAGTTTTTTTTTCATTGTCAACAAAATTGATAAATGATGACTTTGTAAATGGTATCAAGAAAGGAGATATTTTATAATCTTGAAACAATATCCATTACAATTAAAACTTGTTACATTTTTTGTCCATAATCTCATATGCTATATCCAATACCTTTACTTGACTAACTTAGATGATGGATGTTTTCACCTCAGCTTCAAATTGCTTGAACAAGTCATGAACATGAGAAGGAAAAGAAAAATTCACTTCACTATATATCACTATATCGTACGTACTATGGAAGTACGATCAAGGAGTAGTACAAGGTGAGCATATATTCCCCTTCTCTTCTAGGGATTTGTTATGATGGCGGAGAGCGAGGCCCAGCGATCGGCATGGGAGAGCGCTCAGCGCTTGAAAATCAGCGTGGATCTCGTCGACGCTGCCAAGGAGGAGCTGGAGTTCCTGGCGCTCGTCGATCGGATCCCGCGGCTCTACGAGGGAGAAGCCCTGAACCAAGCGATCCACAGGTAAAATCTCTTCGATGAATGCGGTAGGTATCGACGATCGCTGGCCAGGTACACGAGCTTTTGGCTTCCCTTTGCTGCCGCCTATGATCAGAACGATGGCGCAAAGCTTCCGTTGGTGCCGCCCTTGGATTGTGCATGGGTTTGGCATTGCCACAGGCTCAGCCCGGTAAGATGTTTACTTTGTTTCCCGTTTCTTAGTCTCTTTCCAATTTTCGTCAATGCGACGAGCCTTTCTAGGTGCGATACGCGCAAGATTGCAAGGCTTTGTTTGGGAAGATCGTGGATGCTCCTTTGGCTTCACCGCAGAGCAACGATGCGGCAACCATTGAGACACAGAAACTCTGGAGTGCCAGATTTCCGGACGAGCCTTTCAACTTGGACGTGAACTATAAGAGTAGTCATTCTTCATCAATTCCGGAGGAAGAAGGCCGCAAAAAGCTTGCTCAGTACCTCGAAGGCGCTGTCTCTAGGCAAAAATCTTTCTATTATCAGGTGAGAGTTATAAGTTTTCTCCACTTTCGGTGCTTACATTTTGTTAAATTTTTTTGGACGCAGGTCTCTCAGGCCCACTATTTGGAAGAGAGCTTCCTGAAAGCGGCAGAACAAAGATACAAAGGGTTTTTGTATCTGATGACGCTGGGTTCGACCTTCTTCGTCCCCACTTACGACGTCGACGTAATGTGGCACGCTCACCAGCGAAGCCCGGCTGCTTATCATGAGGACTTGATCAGGATTTTGGGTATAGTGCTGGATCACGATGATACCGACAGTGACAGAACAAAAGGGAGGAAGCTAGACAACGGGTTTACAAAGACTCGAGATATCTGGGAGAAGACTTACGGCTTTCCTTACGAAAAAGCCGGTTGCATGTACCGAGGGGATCAACCATCCGTGCTGCCGAAACCGACTGGATCAGTGAGCAGGCCTTTACCATCACTCGATCAAGCGTTCCTGACGGCAAGAAAAACTTTGCAGGTCAGTAATAGCCTCTTTTTCGTGAGCAATTTTGGTATTAACAGCAAGAAATAAGCAGGTTCGTCTGGCTGTTCTTTCTGCTCGGAACGTTCCTGCGGAGAAGTCTTCATCGACGTTTGTGAGCTTGTCAACCTTCGCGAACTTCTTAACTCAGACACCGGAAGTAGCAACAGCGTCTCCAAATCCTCAATGGGATAAGCTCTGGCTGCTCGAGTGCGATGCTGCCGCTGGTGGTCTTGTTCTGGAGCTTCGGCAACGCAGGAAGGGTTTCCTGGGGTTGTCCAAGGGATCAAAGCTTCTTGGCGCGCTGACAATCACTTGGAAGATGATCCTCGAGACGTCAACTCTCTCGCTCAACGGCTGGTTCCCGCTGTTTACTCCCGATGGCGTGACTACGGATAAGGTGCCGTCTCTTCGCGTGGAAGTATCAGTGACGCCTCCTGTTCGCGCTCCATATGTCATGAAAGTTACCAAGCCTGAACTGCGTGGCGGAAAACACCTCGCTAAAGTCCTCGACCATACAAACAAGGATGTTTTCCATGTGCACACAAGGTACGCGTTTGATATCAAAACTTGAATATGTGTGAAGTATCTTATGTTACAGTTTCTCTTCCGGTGTGAGATCAATTACGGTGGCTGCCACACACAATGCAGGCCATAAACTAGGTAGATTCTTTAAGTGACGAGGCTTCAAACAGTGCTAATACTTTTGGACAGTGTTGTTGGCGGTCGCTGAAACCCCAAACTTGTGGCAATGGTCTTTGGACGGTGATTGCACCATTGTCATAGGAAGGAATGCGGAATATGAAGTACATTTTGGAGCTTGTGGTGACGGCTGTCCGGTACTTTCTCTCGACATCTTTGTCTCCTTTCCATAAACTAATCTTTGAATTGATCCAGGTGACGCTTGTAGCTGGAAGAAAACTTCAGTTCGCATTGGCAGGAACTAAAGACGTCAACGAAGGGTTTGTCACGTTAATTCGCTATCTTCCCAAAGCTCCAAATGGAAAGGCGACTGCACTTTTCAACTGGAAGACTGGCTATATGGAGGTAATTGATAATTCATTCCTTGCTCACAGTCAGAAACCTCATGCAGGTCACGGTCGAAGAAAACACGATGTTGGTAGCGGCATTGCTGTGTGCCACAGCCACTTCAATGGCTTGTTTGTCCCTAGACAATCAGAAGCCAGTAACCAAATCTCTTACCAGCAGAAGCTATCGAGGTAAAACGCGAAAGTTGTCTAGCTTCCCAGTTTCACATTGTTTTCATCAGAGTCCCGCGGGTTTGGCCTTTTCGGCCGGCACCAGCGTTCCAAACCATCCGCCTGTGACATCTTTCTTCCCGAGGCCGTCATCTTAGCCAGTGCCGGATGTGGGAGTGGCTGCAATGGGAACTGCGGAGGTAAAACAGGATCAGGATCACCACACCATCCTCAAGGAGGAGCTTGTGGATCCGGGTGTGGAGGTGCCGGTGGCTGTGGAGGTGGCTGTGGATCATCGCTTCCAAAAGCCGGTGCTCATGACTCCAAAGGAGGAGCTTGTGGATCTGGCTGTGGAGGTGGCGGTGGCTGCGGTGGTGGCTGTGGATCATCACTTCCAAAGGATGACTCCAAGGGAGGAGCTTGTGGATCCGGGTGTGGAGGCGGCGGTGGCTGCGGTGGTGGCTGTGGATCATCACTTCCAAAGGATGACTCCAAGGGAGGAGCTTGTGGATCCGGATGTGGAGGTGGCGGTGGCTGCGGTGGTGGCTGTGGATCATCACTTTCAAACGCCGGAGCTCATGACTCCAAAGGAGGAGCTTGTGGATCCGGCTGCGGTGGTGGCTGTGGATCCTCACTTTTCAAAGCCCAGGATCACAACATCGTTGGATCTTCGATTCCTAATGGATCATGATCAACACATTCAAATGCAAACTGGCTAGTGGACGAAGCTGTAAATTTCTCGCTACCGTACGAGGATGTTTTTACTTTAACGTTGCTACCGTACATGTGAATAGAATCCTTTCCGATGATTTTTAAGATATATAAAATATCAGCCAGTCGTTTTGTCCTGGCGCGCTCCGATCACGTCTATCTGGCCGTCTATTCAAATTTCTGAGATCTCTTAAGTGGCACGATCCGGGCCGTCGGAATGGACGGTCTGGGTTTGCTCTTATTCTAGCCCGTGAAGCGCTTGCGTTTTGGCGCAGCTGGAGGTGGGAGACGACGTAGCCGGGCACGCTAGGTTTGGATCGATTCGATCGCGCTCTAGGTCGGAGACAGGTTCCCGGAGGCGCTGGGGCTCGGGGATTCGCGATCGCGATCGCGATCCGGATGCGGAGGTTTATGCTAGGGCTTGAAGAATCGCGCAGGCGCATCGCAATCCAGGCGCTGGATCCATAGAATTGTGGCAATTCCCATGGCGGATTACGTCGGCCCTTTGCACTCGTGGCTGATTAAGAATGGACTGGGGGAGTCGGTGAACCACACCTTGGTGGTGTCCATCTCGCTCTTCGTGACGCTGATCTGCGCGTGTATTGTCCTCGGGCATCTGTTGGAGGAGGTGAAATGGGCGAGCGAGTCTATCGTTTCCCTTATCTTGGTACACGAAACGATTGCTTTTAGCTACCGAATTGCTTAACTTTGTTCTTTCCAGGGTGTGGGGACTGGATTTATCGTCCTCATTATCAGTGGTGGGAAAAATTCTCACATACTCCAGTTCAACGAGGAGCTCTTTTTTATTTACTTGCTGCCACCAATCATCTTCAATGCAGGGTAACTACTCGGTAACTTTTTTTCCATTCTTACAGCTTGTTCGTTGTGAATTCTAGATTCCAAGTCAAGAAGAAACACTTTTTCCGTAACTTTGCTTCGATCATGTTGTACGGTGCCGCCGGAGTGTTCATATCTTTTGTCATAATCTCGTTTGGTGAGTCGTCTAATGTCCAAAACGAATTGCCCTGTTGATATTTTGTTTTCCAGGTTGTAGATATATCTTTCCACATTTGGGACTTAATTTAGCTCCAAGGAGCTATCTCGGTAAAGGCTTTGATTCGGATCTTCAGCCTGGCTTAACTTTGCTTTTGGGTTTAGCACTTGGAACAATCTTTTCCGCCACAGATACCGTCTGTACGCTGCAGGTTTTAAGTCAAGACGAAACTCCTTTGTTGTATAGTCTGGTCTTCGGGGAAGGAGTTGTGAATGACGCTACCTCAGTTGTTCTCTTTAGAACGATTCAAAAGCTTGGCACGGCAAGCATCAACGGGCTCACGGCGCTTGGGATGTTTGCTGATTTTATCTACCTTTTCTTGAGCAGCACAGTGCTGGGAGTTGCTGTAAGTGCCTGTCAAAGTTACATGCAAGTAACTATGTAACTTTGACATTCCTTTCTTATTTCCAGGCAGGACTGCTAAGCGCGTATATTATCAAAACGCTATACTTCGGCAGGTATGCTTTCCAGTTCAAGTTTTTTAAGCTTTGTGATGAACTCTTTCGCAGGCACTCGACCGACAGAGAAATTGCAATCATGACTTTGATGGCATATCTTTCCTACATGATTGCCGAGGTGAGAGTTTTTTTCTGTATAGAGAGGTAGCATTTCTTCTTGTTCTCATGCGTATGCCATTCCAGCTGTTCTACCTGAGTGGGATCCTCACAGTCTTCTTTTGTGGCATTGTTATGTCACATTATACATGGCACAACGTCACGGAGAGCTCAAGAATCACAACCAAGTACAGTGACAAATCTGTATCTTATGTTTTAACTTATTCCTGCAGGCACACCTTTGCAACTATGTCCTTCATCGCTGAGACATTTATCTTTTTATACGTTGGAATGGACGCACTGGACCTGGAGAAATGGAGGTTGGCAGATAAGAGGTGGGGCAAAAAAATGGTTTTTTGTTTTCTTTCGTCTTTTCTAAACTACTGCTGACCAAATAGACAATCATTTTCGATATTCGGCGTTGTCATAGCCTTGGTTTTGGTTAGCCGAGCCGCATTTGTGTTTCCTTTGTCTGCTGTGGCCAACTTTTTCACCCGATCTGAGGCTGGGAAGATTACAATCAGACAGCAGGTAGTATCACGTTGGGTCGGTTTTGACAACTTCATGCGTTGTGTCTTGTAGGTGATCATTTGGTGGGCGGGTTTGATACGGGGAGCGGTCTCAATAGCATTGGCTTTCAACGAGGCAAGTCTCACGATTGTTTCACAAATCTCTCGTTTAATCGTGGTGCCTCCTCACAGTTTACAAGATCCGGAAGCACTATTTTCCCCGACAATGCCACCCTTATCACTAGCACGATTATTGCTGTCCTCTTCAGCACAGTGGTAAGCACACACTTGTTTTTCTTCTTTTTTTATGCTTTCTCTGAGCTTGCGAGTGGAACCTTGCCAGGTGTTTGGAATGATAACGAAGCCATTGATCGGGTGGCTGCTGCCTCCACACATGAGACGTCCGGCAGTGGATTCAGAGCCGTCGTCCCCGAAAGAAGCAAACATCGATCATACTGTGGATGGGAACTTGGAGCTTCCCCTCCTGACCGAGAGGCTCCAGAATCTAAGGAATGGAGTTGCGCGGAGGAGCAGCTTGCGAATGCTGCTCGAGGCTCCAACCTCGACAATCCATCGCATGTGGAGATCATTCGACGATGCCTACATGCGCCCGATGTTTGGAGGCCGTGGCTTCGTCCCAATCCTTCCGGGCTCACCAGGTTCTTCTTGAAACTTCTTCTTCAACAGGTTTATTCTCGAAAGCTTTTCAGGTTCCTCTAAAACGCTGACGTTGGCAGGTTCTTCTTAAACTTCTTTCTTTCTCCGAGGATCGAGAAATCCATCGCTTTACTTGATTCTTTTCTAGGAGCACGCCGCACAGAGAGATTAAAGTTTTGTATGTAATTTTGTACTGCGAGAATGTAAAGATGCGTTTTGGAAAGGTGGATATTCGCCCAAAATGCATTCGCATTTTCGAATGTTGGATATTCCAAAAGCGGAGATGCGAGGGAAAGTAATTGGAAAGTCCGCCCGCGGCCGTGGCGAGGCCGTGGCCGCTGGATGCAAGCAATCGGATGGTGAGAGAGAGCTTAATAGGCTCTGGAAGAACATTAGGAGCCCACCCACCATGAAATTTGGAAAGGCCCTTCGGCGCGTGATCGATCAGACGTTTCCGGCATGGCAGGAATTTTTCATTGCGTACAAGGATCTCAAGCAGCAGCTCAATCGCATCGCAGCAATCCGGCAGCAAATGCCCAATCCAGCAGAAACGCCGGCGAGATTGATCATCGCCCCCGCCGAGACCGCGGAAGAGATGCGCTTCGTCACGCTCCTATATCGCGAAATCTCCAAGCTCAATGCCTTCTTCAGCGAGGAGGAGGAGGAATTCGTGATCCGGTTCCAGGTAGTAGGTCTTGCGCGGTTTCTTTAGATCGAAATCTTTACTCGCTGCGCAGGATCTGCGAGAGAAGGCAGTGGAGAATCACGCTAGCCGCGGCGGCTTGCTCCGGATCTGGCGAGATCTCGTGTGCCTCCATGGCGAGATGATCTTGCTCGAGAACTACAGCTCCATCAATTGCCTGGGTATGGATGAGCTTTCGCTTGGCAGTGGATGATTTTGACGGAATTCCTGGCCAGGGCTGGTGAAGATCGTGAAGAAGCACGACAAGCTGAGCAGCAGCGTGGCGCTCCTCCGCCTCCCATTCGTGCGGAGGCTATTGCGGCAGCCATTCTTCCAGACGGAGCAGCTGTTCGTGCTCATCGCCGAGTGCGAGCGGATCTTGCGCGCGCTGGAGAGATCGCTGCGATCCGTGGCGGCTGATGGACACGACGAGGAGGGATTCGACGGGGACGATGGAGACGACCAAAGCGGCAGGATTGTGAGGAGCACCGTGGCGGCACTGGGGACGATCCAGCATTTGCGCAACGGGAGCTCCACGTATGGCCCTTCTTCCCTACGCTACGACTGAAGAACCCTAAAAACAGAGCAAATGTGAAAGCCCTTAAAAAAAAGAGGTTTCCCTTTAAGTAAGCCTTTAAAACACGAATATCTTACGAATATAGGGCTAGTTCTCTACCATTTTTTTGAAGATTTAGGGTTGTTCACGATGCTACGCCTTGTTCGTGGCGTGGCGCCGCTGCGGCCGCCGCCCCCTTTGATTCTCTCGCGGAGGCTTCTGTTCGATGATCTTCCGGAGCGCGACAAGAACGAGTACGAGCTGCGGAGCCTTGCATTTGTGCGGCAGGAGCGGCAAATGTGAGTGATTCTGCGGCGAATATCTTCGAAAGTTCTATCTCTGCTTGTTTGTTGCGTAGGCAGATTCCGTGAGGAGATGTTTGAGAGGGCGTGCCAGCGATTCGAGATGAACCGGTTCCGCCTCGCGGATTCGACGCTGAGATCTGTGGTATGTGAAACAAGTTTTTGGTCGTTCTCTCAGAGTTTCTCGAGTTTCTCTAGAACTGGGGGAACGATAACGCAATGAGAATAGCTTTCTCGCAGATCGACAGCAATAACGATGGCTATATCACTCCATCGGAGGTCTGGTTTTCAAAGTGTTTTGGTTTCGCAAAGTCGATCGAGCTCTCTATGCACAGCTTGCGAGATATCTATCGAAATGGGGAGCCAATCTTGACAAACAAGACATTGAGAAGATGATCAAATTCGTGGACAGAGACAAAGACGGCAAAGTTTCGTTCCGAGAGTTCTCCAAGATGATCCGCGGAGAATTTGATTCACCCCTCGGTAAGCCATTGTCTCATTTCCTCTTGGAAGCGATAAAAAATCTTCGATCCAATTCCTCCATTTTGTTTTTCCAGGAAGAATTCGCGCGAGAAGCAAAAGCAAAGATGGAAGCTGAGAAACAACATAATCCAAAGCTCTAGAAAGCGATTAGATTATATCGGTGATTATTATAAGAGGTCCATGGTCAAGACCGACGGCCGGGATGCAATCCCAGTCCGCTAAAAGAGGTGGCTATCCTATCAACGGTGGGACGGCCCGGTAAGCCATCTGACGGTCACGATTGCGCCACCGCGGGGTTAAGATGGTCCTTTTTTCCTCCTTTCATACTTCCATTTAGCCCGAGTGAGCCCTTTGCTCGGCAAGGGTTTTGCAGATCTCCGCTGTTCTTCCTAGGATTGGCGTCTGGGCGCCACGAATCGGCGCGAGGTAAGCTCATTGGCGCCGAGATAGATGATATTTCGACTAGATCTGGATCGCATCGACTCACAATCCCCGCTCTTGCAGATGGAAGATCGTCGAGTTCTACCGACAGTGTCACAAAAGCTGATTGGCGGCCCCTCGCCATTCGGCTATGGCAGGACTGCCGATAGGATCTATGGATCTTACGCCACGTCCTCGTATCTAGGAGCCGCCAGGTCGAGGTACGTCTCGGAGCTCACGGGGGGCCTGAGGGGATTCTCGGCGGCGGGGGCGGCGACGAACATCGCTGCTCCATCGCCGGTTTTCGTTCCAGCGCCTGCCGAGAGGGGGAAGAGCGCATTCCTGATAGATTTCATGATGGGTGGAGTGTCAGCCGCGGTGTCCAAGACCGCCGCCGCTCCAATCGAGCGCGTGAAGCTCCTGATCCAGAACCAGGACGAGATGCTCAAGCAGGGACGTCTCCAGGAGCCTTACAAGGGTATTGGCGACTGTTTCAAGCGGACGATTAGCCAAGAAGGGTTTGGGTCTCTGTGGAGAGGAAACATGGCAAACGTGATCCGATATTTCCCGACCCAGGTTAGTCTCTTCTTTCCTTTGTGGCTTGCCTTTGTGTTGTGATTGGGTTTTCCATGTCTCTACGTCGTTTGTTCTGTAGCTAATCAAGGCCTGCTGTCAAAGCTATGTTTTTTCCTGGAGCTTTTCTGGCATTGGATGATTTCTTTACTTGTGTTTACTTGTTTTTATTGCTGACAGAAGTGTGAGTTTTGGTTTTCAAATCATCGCGGTGTTCTGGATGGATTTGTGTTCTAAAACGTGTTCTTTTTTCGCAGGCCTTGAACTTCGCCTTCAAGGACTACTTCAAGAGAGTGTTCAACTTCAAGAAGGACAAGGATGGCTACTGGGTGTGGTTCGCCGGGAACCTGGCGTCCGGGGGTGCCGCCGGTGCAACCTCGCTGCTGTTCGTCTACTCGCTGGACTACGCGCGAACTCGGCTGGCCAACGACGCCAAGGCCGCAAAGAAGGCCGGCGTGGCTGGAGAGCGCCAGTTCAATGGCCTGCTCGATGTCTACAAGAAGACCATGGCCACGGACGGCATCGGCGGACTCTACCGTGGTTTCACCATCTCGTGCGTGGGTATCATTGTCTACAGGGGCCTCTACTTTGGAATGTACGACTCGCTCAAGCCGGTGCTTCTCACTGGATCTCTGGAGGTAAACTCTTCTTGGCGCTTTGGTTTTGACCGAGGCTAACTGGTGTGTGATCTCCTGTTCCAGGGCAACTTCCTTGCGAGCTTTTTTCTAGGTTGGGGGATCACGACTGGAGCTGGACTGGCTTCATACCCCATTGACACAGTGCGGCGTAGGATGATGATGACTTCGGGCCAGGCAGTGAAGTACAACGGATCGATGGATTGCTTCAAGCAGATTATCAAGAACGAGGGAACCAAGTCGCTGTTCAAGGGCGCGGGGGCCAACATCTTGCGAGCGGTGGCGGGTGCCGGAGTGTTGTCGGGCTACGACCAGATGCAACTCATCTTCTTTGGCAAGACTTACGGATCCGGGGGTGGAGGCTAAGAAGGAAAAGGAGCGGAGAGCGCGCCGATGATGACGATGAAGAAAGCTCATTCCGTTCTTTTTCTCCTTTTTTTTATTTTTTGCGCAGAGACTCTCTAAAAAGACTTTGTTGTAGCTTATATTTTTTCAGGCTGTTTTGAATAACTGTTGGGCACTAAAAGTTCCTGGAATGAGTTTACAAAGTTTTGGGGTGAGAATTGGATTTTACAAGTTCCAAGATTGTGGCATGCTTTACAAGATCAATTCACTATAGTCTTCCAGCTCCTCTATGGATTCATGGGCTGCTGGACATGCTACATGACCTAATTTTTTCATCTCTAATCTTTGTTGTTTGTTCGCCACAACATAGTACACCTGTTCGCTCGTTAGCACACGGAAATTGAAAGGCCAGGGGCCCCTCCGCAAGGATCAGATATACTAAGAACGACAACGAGCTCAATGATCCTCGATAAGCCAACCTAAGTTCAAATCTTGTTTCTTTAAAATAATTAAAAAATTTCTATTTAATTATAATCCGGGACAAAACGTTAGTAGATTGTAGATAGTGGTGGCTACCAGTAGATTGGTGGCGATGGCGGTGGTAGTGGGGATTTGTATTCATATGGTGGTGGTGGTGGTGGAGACTCGTATTTATACGGTGGCAACGGAGGCGGAGACTCTGGTGGTGGAGATTTGTACTCGTACGGTGGTGGAGATTTCTCATGGTGGTGGAGATTTGTACTCGTATGGAGGTGGAGACTTCTCGCATTTTGGTGGTGGTGGTGGTGGTGGAGACTTGGGTGGTGGCGGAGGTGGAGATTTCTCACACTTTGGTGGAAGTGGTGGAGACTTGTAACGGTAAGGAGCTGGTGTGGTGGTGATTCAACCGGTGGCGGTGGTGGTGGTGGGGATTTGTAGCAGTAAGGAGGTGCATTAGGAGGTGCATTAGGAGGGCATAAACGATTTGGAAACCACCAGGGCCTTCTCAGCCATGGCCTCCAACAGAAGAAATCGATCGTGCTCTTGGGAATTTCAAAGCCAAAGTTCTTGGCATCTCCAAAACCCCCTGCATTTCGATCCAAAACCTCCTGAGATCCATCAGACCTGACAGTAGAAACCAGGAGAAGCAGCAAAAACATGTTGCATGACTTGGAGACCTTTTCTTGTGAGACTACAAAATTTCCAAGTTGTAAAGCCTAGCATTGTGTCTTGGAACCCACTGCTTTCAAATAGTAATGCTTTAGAAATTGATGGCTCTAAAATCTTGTTTTTGATTTTATTATATTTCAATTAGCGATGTTAGTAACCTTTGCTTTTATAACAATAATAAGGATGAAAATGAAATTCAACAAAGAAAAGCTGCATGAATATTCTTATATGAAACTTTGTTAAACATTGACAATCATTAGGGAGCTCAATTTTATCATTGTTTCTTTGGCACGAATCCCACTAGAAGAAACAATGAGAGAGCACAAACAATTGTTGCCTAGAACATTTATCACTTTGCACTTCACAATATTAAGCACCATTTTATTATGTTTGGTCTGCCAACAATACTAAAGTGCCAGAGTTAGCAAGCAAAGACGTTTGGCTATTTTTAAATTTTCTTTTGTAGTGAATTTTGGAGTGGCATTTTAGCTTTATAAAAAGCCCAAGAGATTGAATTTTGGCAACAGTGGCTAGGGTGTGCTGCTGTGAGAGAGTGAAGAGATTCAGTATTCCAAGCATTGTCTCCCAACTCTTGCAGCAGTGCTGAACATATGCAAATCTTGGGCCAGCATTGCAAGGGATGTGGGTTTATTCTGGTGTGATTCCAAAACTTTGCTATGCGTTACATATAGCAATGTTTGGTTTGGTTTATAATATTAATAATTTATCTAATTGATCAATATATAATTCAAGCTAGAACAAAAGTGGATATGAAGTTTGATTGAGTTTTTGTGGGATAAGCCACATTTTTCTTCAGCCATCATATCTCAATGAAATTTAGTGATGTAGAAAGTTCCAAGTTTGCATTTTTAACTCGTTACTTCGTAATAAACTCGGTTTGAGAAAAAGTAGCAGCTCCATTGAAACCCTTGTTTAACCAGCAAAATGAATACAATTTTCATCTGTAATGCTTTTTAGTTTGATTTTTCCCCTCTTTTCCAAATTACATCCCGGTGAAAGTGCGTAAGTAATTACAAGGTGACCAAAATTTCTTGACTAACCTGTCTCCCCCACGACTTGTATAATGGAATCAATCAAATTCAATCAATCTCGCCTTCTTCCACCTCGCCGTTTTCGTCCGCGTACGCAACCTCGCCATCCCCCTGCTTGTCATCCTCCTCCTCGTCCAGCTTCATGAACAGGCCCAGTTGCTCCAGCGCGTTCCCGGCGCCTTGTGGAAGAGTGAAGCCCGGCAATCCATCCGGAGAATTCGGGGGGCTCACTTCCCCCGCCGAGCTCTGGAAGTGCTCCTTGGAGCTCGTCCTCATCAGGTCGAAATCCTTGAGAATCTCACAGTGCGCGTCGAGATCCACTGTTCTTTCCATCTACATCACGAAAAACACGAGTAAAAAGAGGCTTTTAACGCGAGAAAAGAGCTTGCTTACCTGTTGCAGAGCCTTCCGAGCGGCCTCTCGTTCCACTTCTCGTTTCTTCCTGGCCTCCGTCGCAGCTTCCGCTTCGGCTTTTTTGCGAGCGACCTCTGCAGCCTTGGCATCTGCCTGTAACCGTGCTTTATCTGTACGCAAAGCACGTTGCTTACAAAAACAATAAAGGAAAGACACGAATAAAAGCTTACCTTCTCTTAACTTCCTTTCGAGTTCCTCCCGCTCCTTGCGAAGCTTTTCCGGATCGACGTTGTCCCCGCTCTGCACACACACACACACACACAAGAAAGAAGAGTATCAGCTCTGTGACAAGGCAGCTACGCTAGTGTACCTTGAGCGGGAAAGTCTTCTCCCGAGCTTTCAAAATGGTATCGGCAAAGCGACCTTTCAGCAGAGCTGCACGAACGCTCTTTTCGGGAGAGACTGGCCTCTCAGATTGGAGTTTCTCTGCTGCTGCAAAGCTCATGAGAAGCCAGAAAATCGTCACGCTTCACGCTTACATTTTTCGGCTTGAGATTCAGGTAAGTCCCCAGCCTCCCCAGGTCTGACTGTTACGGGCTCTGGAACATATCACACAAAAAAGATTAGTAGCCCGTCGAGAAAAATCAATCCTCCATGGACAAGCAGCAGCAGGCAGTGCATGAACGGAGAATCGAGCTCCCACAAATGAAAAGAATGCAAAGTGTGCACAAGACGGCACCCACGTTTTGCACCGTCAATCTTGTCAGACGGGCTGGATAATTGCTCGCGAACAGCACCAAAACCCATAGGCTCCTGGCAAGAATACCGCACGGAAGGGCAGTTCAGCCACCTCCAAAAAAAAATCCCCCCCACTTCCACGAGAAAAGAAAAGAATCGCTCTCACTCACTCCTCTCTTTTTTTCTGCCTAACTAGTCACCGTTCCCGTTCCCCAAGCAAATACCTTCTGAGAGGTAGGCTTCTCTATACCAGCAGTTCGAGGACCTTCGGCGTCGGAATCGCTGTGAGAAGAGCTCCCGGAATCCGATTCTGAAAAAAAAAAAACCGGTTATCAAGCATGCCTGGGCACACAAAAAACATACCACTGGAATCTGAACCAGAGCTGCTGGAAGAACTTCCTCCAGACGACTCTCTTCCATCATTAGGTGTATCTTTGTCAACTACAACAGGTGAATAATTGGCTGTAGGCATGTCGTCCTCTCCATCGATATCGACGTCCTCATCTAGCCCTTCACCACCTAGACGATCATTAACATATATCAGACACCTACGACGACGAGAACTCAAGAACATACTCTTTCGACTCTTCTTCGGTGAATCTCCCGGAGCCGTTCCCCCGGTCTGCTGGGAAAGACAAAGACAAAGAACACAGGTCAAAGTAAGAACTACCAACGACAAGAAATACCTTGATGCCTTCTGCTGGCTGCGGCCGGGGCCTCTTCTTGTTTTTCGGCTTCATACAGCTCGCAACCATCTTGTGAAGCTCCCATAGTGTGTCGTTGTCGATCCCATCAATGTCGACTTCGATCGTATCCTCGCTCTGGCTAAGGTTTGGGTTGTGCTTCTTGAGTAGCAAAACGATCTCGTCGGCTTTGTCACCTGGGTTCTGCTCCAACACCTTCTCCAGATTCTTACCCAGCTCCGTCTTCTCCTCGTAAGTCATCTGTCTCTTGCCCGACTTCTTGCTTCCCCTGGGAGCCCCGGCGGGTTTCTTGAGCGACGACAATTGATCCTCGATGCTGAGGAGGCTCTGCTTGAGGTTCTGCAAGGCCGGGTTTGGGTTCCCCTGAGCAATCTCCGCAAACACCTCGTCCTCCACCCGGCACTTGGTCTGCTCCTCCTCCAGCTTCTCCTTGATGCACCTCCACCTCTCATCGAAAATCTGGCGAAGTATGTCCGCCATGATGAACACGTCGTGCCCGGGCGGGTTGTAAGTCATGGCATTCGAAAAGGTGAGCTTGACATCGTCCGCAAACTCGACTGGCGTGCGGTAGTGGCCGCCCTCGAGCTTCTTCTTGATGGTGCCCAGGTCCATGGGCCGCCGGATCACCTTGTGGTAGTCGTGGAGCCCGAGTTTGACAGCGTCCACGGGCTCGTTGAAAACCCAAGCGTGCTTGTGGGTGATGAGCTTCTTGAGCAGCGTCCCACACTGTTTCATTATGTCGCCCATCCTCTTCATCCGCGCTAGCTCCACCCTTTGCCGCTTGTTGTCAATGTCGCCCTTAGTCCCTTTCTTGGGCGGGACGAGCGCCTTGGGCTTGACCTTCTCCGGCGGCGGCATCTTGTCCTTGGCCGAGAAATACTCCGAGGTGCTGTACATCTGATTCGCCTTGGGCGTCCGCTTCTCCTTGCTGCTGCCGCCCGTGCCCGGCGTGCCGAGAGTGCCCGACGATCTGGACTGCTGCTCTAGCGCCTCAATCTTGGTGCTAATCCCGATAACCTGTTCCAGGTCGAGCTTCAAGCGCTTGCGGACCTCGCGCTTGGATTCTTTCGGCATTGCCGACACAGATTCCATCGATCACACGCACCTGGAGGCCGATCCCCACACCCTAATCACTAGGCCAGGGCTCGGCGGCAGATCCCTACCGAAACCCTAGAACACATGACGGAAGAGAGGAACCGAGGGCTCCTTTAAAAGCGGTGTCCACGCTGTCCTGGCCGTTAGATCCCCATCGGGCGGTCCACATTCCTCGGGGCCCCCGGCCGTTGGATCCCGGATCGGACGTCGATTTTGATCTCTAGCCGTCGGATGTGTATCGCACGGCTGGCGCCCCGGGCAGCCGGTCCGCCGTCGGATGCGTGTAAACGGTTTCGATGGGGCTGCCCGTGGTACACGTGGCGGGACTGCAACCGCAGGCGCCCTATCCGTAAAATGGAAAAGAAAGTTTTTTCACACGGTTTCCCCAGACGCGGGGGAATCTTCACTGATACCGTGGCGATATTTTTTTTCTCTCTCTCTCTCGCTGGCACTTTATAAGTATCTAGAGTCGGGTTCGCGATCTCGACACGTGTTGCCGCTCAACACCGTTGATTTGCGTCTTCTTGTGTTCGTCACTCAGGCCTGTACTGTCGTCACTAGAGCTCGATCGGGAGCTTCTCGGAGGATTGACAGATTTTCACAGAATTTCTCATCCCTGTGACTCAAATCAAAATGATCGATCGCTCAGAACCTGCTGGAACAAAGTCCCAATCCTATCAAAAGATCTTCTTGTTCGAGTTCATCACTGCGAGCCCCAAATCACTCAGTGCTTCTTAGAGGGTATTTCCCCACATCAGGCACAAAGAATGGCCTCTAGGGTGGAAATTTGAGCTTCATCACGGTGAACCGATAATCCCACGCACACGACGCCTAGAAAACACTCCTCATAGCAGACAGATCTCAGCACTAGATCAGCAATTGAAACGACGATTCGCGAGAAATCACAGGAGCCAGAGATTTTCCAGTCCAAGTGGCCGCTTGGATCACCCGGAGATCGCAAGCGGATGGAAGAGCGACTGGAGAGACTATGTCTTGCCGCCGCCAGGGCGAGATCGCAACAGCGCCCAAACGGGGCGCTGCCGCCACACAACGCAAGAACCCTAGAAATTGACCTAGAACCACATATTTTATGATCGAGAGCTAGGGTTTTCTGATCGCGGTGATCTGGTGGAAGCGATGTCGGTAAGATGTTTGCTAGCGCCGATCGATTCCTGGAGCTGAGAGCTTCCGCCTTGGCAGATTTTCACCTACAATGGCAGCGCCTTGGTTGCGATGGTCGGAAAGGATTGCTTTGCCATCGCCAGTGATCGCCGGCTTGGTGTGAATTTCCAGACGATAGCTACGGATTTTCAGCGCATTTTCAAGATCCATGACAAGCTCTATGTCGGATTAGCAGGGCTTGCTTCCGACGTCCAGACTCTGTAAGTTTCTTACTTTGAATTTTTTTGTGCGTTCTTTCTGATTCGCTCGCTGCCTTTGTAGCTACCAACGATTGAAGTATCGACACAACCTCTTCCAGTTGCAGGAGGAACGAGATATGCGACCAGAAACCTTCTCGAATTTTGTCTCTGCAACACTCTACGAGAAGAGGTGAAAATTCTCTCCTTCTCTCTTTCGAAGCCTTTTCTTCATCTCTTTTGTCAGATTTGGTCCCTACTTCGTTCAGCCTCTCATTGCTGGGCTCGGAGCAGACAACAAGCCTTACATCTGCACGATGGACTCTATCGGAGCAATGTGAGTGTCCGACTTTCGTAAGCTCATAAGTGACTACTTGTTTTACGCAGCGAGCATTCCAAGGACTTCGTAGTCGGGGGCACTGCGTCTGAATCCTTGTATGGTGCTTGCGAGTCTATGTACAAGCCCGACATGGTAACCATTATTCTAGTTCATGTTACGAGTCCTGTTTTTTTTTTTTCTCTCAGGAGCCTGAAGACCTTTTTGAAACGATCTCACAAGCGCTGATCTCCTCGGTTGATCGTGACTGTCTGAGCGGCTGGGGAGGAATCGTCTACGTTGTGTAATAGCGCTGATTCTTTCTCCTCACCTTCAAGCATACTGATCTTATGCTTATTTTTCTTGTGTAGGACCCCCGACCAGGTAATCGTAAGAACACTCAAAGGCCGGATGGATTAGGACTATGGTGCTTTCAGTTTGTTTATACTGGGCACTTGGAACATTTGGTCAGTGCTTGTTATCCATTGCAGTTTTACTTAACCGATCCCTTGTCTTGCACTTTACGTTCGGAAAGTATCTTTAACATCACAGAATCACAAGCGATGTTTCGTTTTTCAGACGAAACACTAGGTTCTAAAAGCTGTGGAAGTTGGCAGCTTCATAAGAACCTCGGGTTTTGGGTTTGGATCCGCGTTGTGCTCATGACAGCCGTTTCTCAACAACACTAGACCGGCTCTGGTTGGCTGCCATTCAATGGGAACTGAGAAGTTTATCCTAAATTCATGGACCTCAAGTCGCCACAACTGTGAGTTGTACGTAAGAACGTCCAAGAATTTGCTTCTTGACCTGCTCTTGTTTAGTTGTCATTTTACAGGTGGTTCCCGCTTTTTGCCATTCATTGTCTTTTAACTGTTTGTGATAGCGGCTGCTGCGTTTTCCTTGTTTCTGTATTCTTATTGTCTGCCTGAATGTCCTGTCCTATCCTCTCTATTCCATCTCCTCTTGACAGCATGTAGAAACTTGTAGCGTCGGATCTTCGATGGCATTCTCGGGTCTGTTTCTCGAGCTTCTTGCTTTGGTGCTGGTGCTGGAGTTGAGTCATTGTCTCGACTATAGTGATGCGCTCTCGAAATCTATTCTTTTCTTTGAAGCCCAGAGATCCGGTCCACTTCCGAGCAGCCAACGACAGAATTGGAGAGGCGACTCGGGCCTGTATGACGGAGCCGCTGAGAATGTAATATCGCGCATGCAGCTCGTCTGATGCTAACGCCAACTTGCAGGTTGATCTCGTTGGTGGCTACTATGATGCCGGTGACAACGTCAAGTACCTTTTCCCAATGGCATTCACCATCACAATGCTGTCCTGGGGAGCTATCGAATATGGCAACTCGATGGCTCAACTTGGAGAGTTACAGAACGTCCTCGATGCTATCCGGTGGGGGACGGATTTTATGATCAAGGCCAACACAGGTCCTACCACGCTCTGGGTCCAGGAAAGTTATTTACATGATTTTTTATTTCTCAGTCTGAACTTGGGACTTACTATGCAGGTTGGAGATCCAAGAGCGGATCATAACTGTTGGGAACGACCAGAAGACATGGACACTGATCGTCAGCTGTACAAAGTTGACGAAAACAATCCAGGGACGGAGATAGCTGCTGAAACTGCTGCGGCTCTTGCTGCTTCTTCAATTGTGCTTTCGGGAGTTGATCCTGGGTACTCAAATTTCCTTCTTCGGCGAGCAGAAGCTGTAAGTGGTCTTTTCCCTATTCCCTCTGCCCGATAACATTCATTGTTGGAATTCTTATACGCTTTCTCTATTTTTTAATTAGCTCTTTGAGTTTGCAAATCAGTATCGTGGTTCTTTCTGGAAAACGTGTCCATTCTATTGTTCTTTCAACGGTTTCCACGTAAGTCGACGCTCAGTACGTAGCTGTAAAGCTTTTTATCTTCTATCAGGATGAGCTTCTCTGGGCCGCTGCTTGGCTGTTCAAAGCCACAAATGCCGCCTCCTATCTCGATTTCATAGAACGCAACATGGACAAAAGTGTTCCCACTAGCGAATTCAGCTGGGATAACAAGCATGCTGGTGTACAAGTTTTACTTTCAAATGTAAGGAGACACTGTTCTTTTGATTGATCTGAAGTCGTTATCTGCATTCAGTTTTACCTTTCTGGGCAGGAGTCGCTTGCAAAGTTTAAGGACCATGCTGACAGATTTTTCTGCTCGGTACTTCCATACAGTCCTGTTAACCGAGTCTCCACTACTCCAGGTACACGGTTTCGCTCATTTTTCGTTTCTTAGTCTACAAACTCCATTCAGGTGGCATGATGTTTGTTAGAACTGGCGCTAACATGCAATACGTAACTAGCACCTCGTTTCTGGCTGCCGTGTTTGGTGATTATCTTCAAGCAGCAACCCAAACACTTGCGTGTCAAGACTACATATTTGCACCGGACACTCTGATGTCGTTTGCACTAAACCAGGTGAGCTATCAGTTCGCAGAAAAATATCATAACCCCTTCACTTCTGTAGGTGAATTACATTCTTGGTCAGAATCCCTTGGGGATGTCTTACATGGTTGGCTACAGCAATTATTATCCTTTAGAACCGCATCACAGAGGAGCGTCGATAGTTTCAATCTACGAGGATTCGACGCCTGTGAATTGCGTGCTGGGATTTAACGAGTGGTTTTACAGACCTTTCCCGAATCCGAATGTCCTGACTGGAGCAATTGTTGGGGGTCCAGACCGCTGGGACGCATTCTTGGACTGGAGGCCGAACTCTGCCCAGCTTGAACCTACCACATATATCAATGCTCCTTTTGTCGGTCTTCTTGCCAGGATTTGTAGCCTCTACAACTTCTTCTAAACCGTAAGCAATATTCTAGTTTTCTTCCTTCTGTTTCTTGCTAAATAGATTGAATTTTCAGAGGTAGGAAAAATGGGAGCATTGCTGCATCTTAAATCAAACTTCTGGTTAGTCTGGTTCTTGTTCTCTTTAATCCAATTCATTATTCATCTAGGGCTGTGGAACTTTGAAAGAACCCACAATTGTTGCACTTTTCTTTTCACTCCTCACAGTGTTGGGTTTTCTCTTGCGTGCAGCAGCCTGATGGTTTGGCGGTGAGAAGTTGTGGCTTTTATCTGTGTTGCTGATTTACTAAGATAGTCACTTTTGCAGGAAGCAGCGAAAGGGAAAAATGGCATAGGCCGTCGGGGTTTGGCCAAGCATGCAGTATGAGTCGCATGGATCATTGCACATTGAACGAGGCCCAGGAGAAAATGACAAGAGGAAGAGCTCTCTCTCTGGTATGCTTGCGGCATTAAAGCTATCAAGCAGCTCCAGGAACCTAGAACTCGGGAAAAAGATCCACGCCGATGCAGTTCAAAGCGGTAATGAGACCAACATTTACATGGCCAGCACTCTGGTGGACATGTACGCTAAGTGTGGCTGCTTGGCGGAGGCTCGCAAGGTCTTTGACAATATGCCATCGAGAAACGTGGTATCCTGGACGTCACTCATGCTCGGCTACGTGCAAAACTGCCAAGCCAGGACAGCTCTGGAGCTCTTCCAGCGTATGGTGTCCGACGGCTGCGTTCCAGACGCTCAGACTTACGTTGCTGCTCTCAAGGCGTGCTCAAACTTGGTGGCGAAAGAGTCAGGTAGTGCCGCGGATGGCAGGCTCCGGAAGATGGTGGTGCTGGAAACAGGATTCATGCTCCACTCTCTGGCTGCTCCATCGGGCTGCGACTCGGACATCTACGTCGCCAGCACTCTGGTGGACATGTACTCCAAGTGTGGAAGCATGGAGGACGCTCGAAAGGTGTTCCTTGGGATGGAGTTAGCGTCTCGAAACGTGGTGCTCTGGACAGCGCTCATGACCGGCTATGCTCATAACGGCGAAGGCGAGCTCGCTCTAGAGCTCATGGGATCCATGAACTGCGCTCCAAATTCTCTTACGTTCGTCGCGGCTCTCAAGGCGTGCTCGGCTCTAGCAGCGAAAGAGGAAGGCCAGAGAAGCAGCGATGGAAAGATGGTGAAGATGGTGGCGCTGGAAGCAGGAATGCTCGTCCATACCCGGGCTGGTTTGGCCGGTTTGGAGTCGGACATCTTCGTGGCGAGCACTCTGGTCGACTTTTACGCCAAGTGCGGGAGTTTGAACGACTCGTACAGGATCTTCGACGCAATGCCGGTGAGGAACGCGATCTCGTGGACGGCTCTCATGTCCGGCTACGTGCAGGAAGGAGAAGGCGCGAAGGCTTTGGAGCTCTTCTCACAGATGATGCACAGGGATGGCTGTGAAGTCGATGCGCAGGCTCTCGTGGTGGGACTCAGAGCTTGCATTGCCAGTGCTGGGAAAGAGGAGGCCAGGAAGATCGACGACAAAACGGTGGAGCTCGTCTCTCTCTCGAGTGGAGTCCGGCTGAAAGAAGCGGTGATCCAGCGATCGATGAAAGTGGCAGCTCTGGAAACCGGGATGGTTCTCAAGGATGAAGTGATCGATCGAATGGCCAAAGTGGTTTCTCTGGAGCGAGGAATGGCGCTTCACAAGGAGGCGAGAAAGCGAGGCTTCGAGAAAGATATCTTCGTCTCCAGCGCTTTGCTCGATATGTACTCACACTGTGGAAGCCTGGTGGACGCTCTCAAGATCTTCGAGGGAATGCCATGTCATAACGCGGTGACGTGGAATGCCCTGCTGCTCGCGTATGCCCAAAACGGTGAGCGTGACACGGCGCTGGACGTTTTCGCGTGGATGCGCCTCCACCGCGGATGCTACCACGTGGACGGCCAGACGTTCGCCAGCGCGCTCAAGGCGTGCGCCGGCATGGCCGCTCTGGACATGGGACGTGCCATCCACGTGGACGCCTGCCGCTGCGGCGCCGCGGAGCTGCCCGCGGTGGTCAACTGCGTCGTCGACCTGTACGGCAAGTGCGGCAGCACGGAAGCCGCGCGGCGCGAGTTTGACGCCGCGGGCGTCGCGGACGTGGTGACCTGGAACGCGCTCGTGTCCGGGTACGCGTGGCATGCTGACGTGGCGGAGGTGTTTGGCGCCTTGTATGACATGCGGCGGGCGGGGGTAAAGCCCGACGGTATCACGTTTCTGGCGATTCTCACGGCGTGTAGCCATGGCGGGCTCGTCGACAAGGGGATTAAACTCTTTGAGAAGATGGAGGTGGTGTACGGCATTCGTCCGGACGTGGAACACTACCACTGCATGGTTGATCTTCTGGGGCGGGCGAATCAATTGGAGCGGGCGGTGGAAATGGTGAGGTCCATGCCGGTGGAGCCAAATGCCGTGACGTGGATGACGGTTCTTGGGGCGTGCTGGAAGTGGAAGAATGTGGAGCTTGGGCGATTGGCGTTTGAATCGGTGGTGGAAAAGGATAGACGCGAGCTCGCGGCTTACATGCTCATGGCGAATATCTATGGGAGCGCCGGGATGTGGGAGGAGAAAATGCGAGTGAGAGAGATGGGAATGGAGCTGCAAAAAGGGGAGGATTATGTGGCCCATGCAGGTCTCGAACCTGCGACCTTGGCGTTATTAGCACCACGCTCTGACCATCTGAGCTAATAGGCCTTAACTATCAGTGATTATAAAGTTACTGGATTCAAGGAAATGTTAGACATTACTCCATGATTATATTGGTTCTACAAAAAGCCTGGCACATGCAGGTTTCGAACCTGCGACCTTGGCGTTATTAGCACCACGCTCTGACCATCTGAGCTAATAGGCCTTACCAATAATCAGTTATGGGCAAAGAATTTTATATAGTTTTAGAAACATTAGCCTCCAAATCTTTGGACTTCATGAAGGTTTCGAATAATCGTATAGTGATAATGTGACAGAAAGGTTTAAGTCTCGAACGTACGACCTTTTAAAAAGTTTATCATTGGTGATTTGTATGTACAGATAAAAGTTCCACGCTATTCTATACAAGACGAGAGTTTTCTTCGTTTAGTTAGTTTCGTGCTCGGGCCGCTGCCCAAACCATCGCGAAGGCAGTCCTCGCCTCTTGAGCAGCCGCGAGAGCGCCGACTCGGGCATCTTTGCTCGCTCCTCCTCCGCCAATTCTTCCGGGGTCTTTGGAATCGAGTCTGGCTCCAGGAACAGCTCCTCCTTCTCCGCCACTGCCGCCGCCTTCGCTGCCTCTTCCCGCGAGCGCGCCGCTACGTTTTTCTTTCGATTGAATCCCGCGAGCACGACCAAGTTCTTGATGAGAGTGGTCACGCCGCCGGACTGCCTGACTAGATTCTCCAGCCTCTCCAGCGGCTGGCACGACTGATTAGCATCGTCGAAGGCAGCAGCGCATTCCTCCTGGGAGCTCTCCTGGAAAACGAGAACCAAAAGTGTCAGCGAGATGGGCAGACGATTCTTCACGAATCAATCGAAGCGGACAAACCTTGATCTTCTCGAATTCGAAGAGAGCATCGTAGCACTCGTGGGCCTCGTTCCCATCCAGAATGGTGCATTCGTCTACTCCACAAGCAAGAGAGAACCACAGAGAACTCTCTCAGAGAGATTTCAATCGAATCGAGCAAGCTGATTTACCTTGCAAAGCGTGCTCGGCCTTCTCCAGCAGCGTCCGCTGTCGCATTCCACGAACGCTTCTACTCTGCGTGAATGGCTCGAGCTTTGGAACCTCGGACGAGACCGACACCGACGATGAAGATGAAGATGATGATGAAGAAGAAGAAGAAGAAGCCGGAATAGCGGCGACGACACAAGGATGCGAATGCGATCGCCGATTGGCACCGGGAAGCCACGAATTCTGCGCCACCACGCCCACGGCGATTCTAGCAGCAGTCGCAGCCATAGCTCCCAAGAACCCTAAACTCTAAAAAGTGGATAAGCTTCGTCAGATATTTGGGCCGAAAACTATTCCATGGCATATTCCGGACTTCCTTAACTTTATTAAGCGTTGGCCAGTCGATAGCGTACGGTCAGGCCCACTTCGCTTTCCTCTCTTTTTTATCTTTCCTAGGGTTTCCGGTGGCGAGCTCCAGGGCGCGGCGGCCGTTCTCTCTCCAGCTCCTTGAATCCTCGATGTTAGAGTAAGTGATCGCCATTCCCGGCGAAAGATCCAGCGATTAGTGACATAAGCGGCAGCGGCCAGGGATTCAGTACAGGGATTTCCAGATCATGTCGCCTCCAGGAGCAGCAGGCGCTGCGTGACACGAATCGGGATCGGCAGGGCCGGGAATTCGCCACAGCGGAGAGGAGATCTGGTCGCCATGACGTATTTCCCTCTCAACACTGGCGCGAAGATTCCAGCCGTGGGTCTCGGGACTTGGCAATCCGATGGAGCGTCGTGTAAGCTAGCGGTCCAAACGGCGCTCGAGGTGGGCTACAGGCATTTGGACTGCGCGCACTTGTATGGCAACGAGATCGAGGTCGGGCAGGCTCTCGGGGCGGCTCTCAATGGTGGAATTCCCGGCCTCCGGCGAGAGGACGTGTTCGTCACCTCCAAGTTTTGGTGCACCACTGACACCTCCAAGCGGGTGGAGATGGCTCTCACGGTCTCGCTCAAGAACTTGGGGGTGTCCTACTTGGATCTCTATCTGGTGCACTGGCCGGTGAGCTCCCAAGTCGGGGACGCCACGGATCCGCCTGGGAATGCCACCACCGAGCTCAAGAAGATGTCCCGGAGGCTCAAGTCGATCTGGCGGGCGATGGAGGCGCTGGTGGAGAGGGGCAAGGTTCGTGCGATTGGAGTGAGCAACTTTGGGATCTCGCAGATACAGGAGGTGGTGAGCTTCGCGAGGATAATTCCAGCAGTCAACCAGGTGAGAGCTATCAGAACTTTACCAAGTACCCCGATCTAACTCTCGTTCTTTCCTTGTCAAGGTTGAGCTCCACCCCTTCTGGCGTCAAGACGAGCTCGTCAAGTTCTGCCAGTCCAAAGGGATCCACGTCTCAGCGCACACTCCTCTGGGATTTCCTGGAGCCCGCCTTGGCAGCTCCGGCAATCTCAGCTCCATGGGAGACGACGAAGTGGAAACCCGGAGCCAACCCATAGTTTTCTCGAGGTCGCGGTCTGTGCACGCTCCCATGCTCGGCACTTCAGCGGTGGCTGTCATTGCCAATCGGCTCCGCAAGACTCCGGCACAGGTACTTTTGGTTCTTTCTTTTCTTTCAGCCTCAGAGCCCCGTCGTTTTCCTCCGCATTGATTGGAAACACGACACGCAATTGAATGGCAGGTCATCTTGCGGTGGGGCGTCCAGAGAGGAACGAGCGTGCTCCCTCGCAGCCTCAAGCCAGAGCGAATCAAGTCCAACTTCGACATACTCAACTGGTCCCTCTCGGACGAGGATTGGAACTCGGTGAACACAATGGAGCCGCAGCTCAGGCTCATTGTGAGCAACCAGTCGTATCTCGGCGAGAACGGGAGGCCACTCCAAGCCGTGAACGAGATGGACGATGTCGATTTCCACTGACTAGACCCATGGCAAAGGTAAGATCTCTCTTTCTCTCACACCTCTCTAGCTCACTCGTTTCTTCTTTGAATGGACTAAAGTTTTGGACTAAAGTTTTGGCAGGACTGGAAGCTCACCTATATTTTTGTACAGTACACAAGCAAAAAAGAAACCAACACGAGCGATAATAAATGCTTGCCACGTTATAGGGTTTATTGGAATTAAAATGCCATGTTGATAATAGTCTCATGCGGTGGATGTGACCATGCGTTGCCACCTTTTTAAAAGCTTATCTTGATCAAGCATGCCATGCCCTTCAGCGTGTGCCCAGAAAGACATAGCCATTTGGGAGCACTCTTACTTACACTAGAGCAATAAAAGAGCTCCTTTATACCTTCGCCATGCTTCAGCAAGTATCAAAAGGAGAACTACTTTAGCCAGGGCATCCAATTGTAGTGTTGTTTGCCAACACCAAAAGGCTTCGATCAAGTTAACTTCTTGGAAAACCTTTGGAAGCCAAGCACCTTGCAAACATTGGAACCAAGATGGATGATCCACACTTGACACATTAAACTCCATCGTTCATGGACGGAAGGCAACAGGGGAGTCTCCTACGTGAGCCTAGCGAGAACTTCTGGGGCGGACATCACAGCATGCTTTGGAGCCCGCTTCAAGTAGTGTGGAATCCAGGTAGCAAAACCCTCTGCACTGGCAAACCCTCTGGATTGCAAGAAACTTCTGAAGATTACAGATTCAGCTCTCTCTTGTCGAAGTACGTAGTGTCCGAATCATCGACTGATAAGACACTGCCTCTCGTAGACTGATCCGTTCAATTGCTGTCTTAAAACCTGCCGGAATGCGGCCCTGTCAAAACCCTGCCAAAACCAAGAGAGGAAGCATCAAACATGGCGATGGAGGAAGCAGTGACCCAGGGAGTTGCGTGACTTTTTCACCGTAAAAAAGTTACGGGGTTTCATGCATCCTCAAATCACTTCTGTTTCTCTTCGCCTCTCATCTCCAGCTCTAATCTCTCTCTCTCTCTCTCTTTCAGCTCCGGATGGCTGCGGCATTGGGCGCGCAGCGGTCGAGCTAATGTGATCATCCTCGCGGGAAATCGATCCATCGTCCTTATCAACTGGCAATGGAACTTGGTTCATAGCTAAGGAGTGGTTCTTCTTTGTTTCGATTTTTCTTCAGATTGATCACTGGGGATACTTCTTTCCTTTCGTTTTTATTTTTCAGGCATGCCAGCAAGGTCGAGTTCTTTGGTTTGGCCGATGAGTTGAGAGAGCATAAGGAGCAGAATTCCATGTCTTTCAGTGTCACAGGACAACGTTTGCAACTGAGGGGAATGGTAAATGTTGTTGCATTTGGAACCATCAGGTCTTCCTCAAGAAGCAACGTGTACTTGACCCCAATCAATTTATGATTGTTGTGAAAACACAAACAACGTTTGCGGTGCCAAAAAGCATTTTCCAGCTCAGAATTAAGCAGGGAGAAGAAAAAGGCAATTTCACATTTTCCGTCTGAAAGAATGAATTATGAACATCAAGCTTAGCATGCATACCATAGGCATCCAGATCCAAGTGCCTCAGACCTCTACTTAATCATCTTCTTGACCAACTTTAGATACAGGAGCAAGCGCCGGTACACCAGTAGTAGCAAAGACTTCCTCACCATGGTCTTACACTAGGACTTATGTTGATCACACAGCTTTCTTTTGATATAGTGAGGATGGAACGCAGTACAAAACTGTGGCTTGATGGAGGCCACTGTTTGTGCATTCTCTCTTCCGAGGAAGGACACTAGGCGGCTTCAAGCACAGGTCACAAACAATTTCTTTCACTCAATTCTTCCTTTCTTTCGTCGCTTCCAAACCATACTTCTACCAAGTGAGCGAAGACTGGAAACGGGAAGAGACGCACGAGAAGGCTTTGCACGCATCCTTTCTCAGCGTTTGGCATCAGCTGCGACACAAAGCTACGGGCAAAGTAACTGTTGCGTCCTTCCATCGATTTGCTACTCAGACAGGGTAGTAACTTTGCGTGATCAGATGCCGTCCATGTTACTGGTCTTCATTAGCAACTTTTTCGTGCAGAAAACAAAAAACTAATCACCAAAGTTTAAATGCTACAAACACTCAGTATATATAGAAATATCACTAAATCTTCCTTCCCAGCTTGCACTTACACCATCAAACGGTGTAGAAAGTTGTGTTGCTTGCATCCGACAAGATCCGAATCCACCAGCAACCTCTGTTTTGTAAGATTTCTCCGCCCACATTTTCTCTTCCAGCAGAAAGAGAGCCACCTTCTCTCCAGCCGATGAAAAAGGCATCACTCCCGATTAAATCACATAGTGTTAAGCCACCGCCTTCAAGGTTTTGGTCCAAGTACCTAGCCATGCCTGCGAGAACCTGATCCTGTCCACTGCACATCCTGATGTATTTCCATCGCAAGCCTGGAAGTCAGTGAGGCAGGAGCCTTCTATTCCTCCTCCACGACCTCCTGATCACCGAGAAGAGGTAGAGGAAGAAGAGGAAGAGCAGCGCCACCAGCAGCCCGGCAAGGATTGGAAGAAGCAGCGGGGTTGCTGCCACAGCCGTCGCCTGTAAGTTGAGATCGTTGGAGGAAGCCAGCTGAAGATCTGCATTGTTGCCCCTGCCTTCGCCTTCCAACAGCGAGCTCAGGATGGCATTGCTGCTGCTAATGCCCTCTCCTTCAAATAACTCGATGAAATCATTGACACTGCCGCTGCTCATACCGGCGTCATACAATAAACTTTGAGAGGTCGATGTTGAAGTCTCTTCAACTTCTTGAAACTTTTCTGTGTTGATCCTCTTGGCCTTCCCACCATCCTTGTCCAAGCTTCGAGGGAACCACCGCCACATAGAAGGTGGTGGCGATGGTGAAGCACTGCCACTGTTGCTGCTGCTGCTAGCTTTCTTAGTGTCACCACTCCTGTCGATTTCCCTCCTGGCCAGTAACTTTCGAGATGATCCTGCTGCTGCATGAGACTTTAGCACCTGTTCAATATCTTAGTACGAATACATCTGATTTCTGTCAGCAGAGACATACCTTGTAGGATGACTCCTTCGCCATTGCTGCCGCACTGTTCTTGTATGGAAGCGTCCTGACGGTGCTGGTGCCATCGCCTTGCAAGCTCCGCCAAAAGACTGAAGCTGGTGTCGATGAAATATCAGCTTGCCTCAACTTTCGAAATCCTGCTGCATGATGAGACTTTAGCACCTGTTCAGTGTCCATCTTAGTACGAATACATCTGATTAGAGACATACCGTGTAGGATGACTCCTCGGCCACAAGTTCTTCGTTATTCTTGTCTGGAGGCTTTCTCACGGTGCTGGTCCCATCGCCTCGCAAGCTCTGCCAGAAGACTGCAGCCGGTGGCGATGAAATACCACCTTGTTCTTCTCCATCTTCTTGCACTGCTGCAAACTTCTGCCTCAGTGGAGCTATGAAGCGATCCACCCCGTGGAATACAGGACCATTCTCGCTGATGGGAGGAGCTGGTGCTGCTTCCAGTAGCATCCGTCGAGAGGTAATCACTGGGAGCCGAGAAGTGATCACTGGGAATCGATGCCACCCCAGAAAGTTCTTGAGTTCTTCCAATAATTCCTGGGACGTCACCTCATCCTCCTCCAAGCCCGCGTCCAAAAGCCTGCTCCATATTTCTGCTTTTATGGACCGAAGAGTTTCCGGTAACTTCCAAGTCCAGGTCTCAATCAGCTGCTTAAGTTCCTCCACCTCTAGGTGCATATCAGCTTTGGACGGTAGCTCCAGCGATGGGAGAGGCGACCGCAGTGAATCCAGACTCCAGGTCCGAAACAAGCTCTTGATGTCCTCCCAGCTCAGGTTTTCATCGTCGTCATCGTTGAGTCCAGTCGTCTTGCCACCAAAAGAAGAATACTGAACTGAATCCACAGTGCCAACCATGACCGCCTCCGGCTGCAAGAGAAGATTGGGGTGAGCCCGTAAAGCAAACCATCTTAGCGCTCGAGTTACCTCTTGCAAATCATCCTCGAGTACAGGTAATGGTGGTGGATCATACTCGGGACCACTAGGTGCTGGGTCACTGCTGGTGATCACTGCCTCGAGCTGTGAGGGTGGTGCTACCGAGGACGAACCAAAGTAATCCTCCAGCTCGATTGGAGTCACTACCTCTCGCACAAAGCTCATCGCCGGCTGCAAGAGAAGATTAACAAGAGGAGCAGACCATATAGATCGAGTTACCTCTTGCAAATCCTCCAATGGTGGTGCATCATACTCTGGAACACTTGATGCTGCATCACTGCTGGCGATCACTGCCTCGACCTCGAGCTGCGAGGGCAGTGCTGGGAAATCCTCCGCTTGCTTGTCCGATCGCGCTGATGCTGCTGCGCCAGGAATCTGCACGCACCCGAAAAATGTCAAAAAAAAAGAGAAGAGAACAGGAGCGAGCTCTACATACTTCCAGGAGGATCTTCAATCCTGTGGCCTGTGTGCTTGCCTGTGTGCTTTCTGCCTGTGCGCTTGGAGCGCGTCGCAACCACGAGAACGCCAACGCCAAAGCTTCCATCGCCGCCAATATAATAGGGCATAAGAAAAAGAGGGTTACTATGTAAAGTAAAATAAAAATGAATTGAAATATCGTGAAAGGTCCGATGATCGTTATCTATGGGTAGATACTGAATCTCCTTCATATAGAAATAGAAACACCACTTATCTGCCGGATCCATCCCAGATCTTATTCCAGGATCACCACTATGACCTTATGAATATGCACCATTTTCCGTCAACTCTGGTGGTCGAAAAACCAATTTCGTCGTCTATTGGGGAGAGCGATGTCGCACAAGTTTGCAACAGTGCAGCAATAGCTACAACCACCCAACTGATTACGGACACAACAGTAGTGCCTCTTCTTGGGATTGCACTCCTCCAAACGGGTTGCACCGCCAAATGGGTTAAGCAGACGGAGCCACAACAGAGCACAAAGATTTCATTCAATACAATGGCCAACATGCTTATGTTTAAAAGGCGTGCATTCTCTTCAGGCGTTAGACAGCCCCACAAATACAAGTGCCATTGCAAGCAGCAAGAGGAGGCAGAATGAGGTGGGATATCTGGTGCGAATCCTGTATTTTTTTTTTCATTTTTGTACTAAAAAAGGTTCTTTTTGTTAATCAATGTCTTTTAACATTTTGTCCAGCAGGGTGCCAGGTATGCCCTCGCTGCCACCTTGTCAACTTTAAAGATTCTTGTCTATCAAGAGTGCTGGAGCTCCGGTTTTGAACGTAACCACGCCTAATCATTGATCTAAAACCTTGCTATTGTAGAGAAAGCATGCTGAGGCAAATGGTAAAACATGCATTCACCATCAAGTAATAGTATCGTACTTGTCTCTTGCAACTCAGCATACTCAGTTTGTAGAATTTAAAACTCAAAAGTTGTCTAGAGTTTGCCCATACCTTTCCATGCAAGAGATTGTCACGTCAGAGCCCTGCATAGTACGCGTTTCTCTTCCCTTGGACCCAATCCCTATCATCAGCAAACATAAATTGCCCGATCTCAACTTCTTGCGGTATCAGAAAATGGTTTTGGTTTCCACGAAGGATACTCCTTGTCACTTTTTGTGTGCTGAATTCCTGCTAGTCTCAGCCATGGATGTGTTTCTCTGGACTTGAGATCTGTAAAACTAGAGCTTGAGGTAGGAGTATGTCTGCACATGTCTCGCTAGCTCCATCAACGCCAATGTCTTTGATGCTATGCCAGGGCCGTGGAAGTTATTATGAGTCAGACATTCCTTCCGGTCAAATTTTTGCAAATAAAGTTTCCTATTGAAACTCTTTTCCCATATAAAAAAAGCAGGAGCCACTTCAACATGCAATTGGGTAAATACACGATAGAGTGATTCAATAAAGTGGTAAAAAGTAATCAAAACTTTATTCATGTATTTTTTGTCACAAATTAAAATTTTACAATTGGTTTTATTTTCAAAATAATTGTGATCTTCACAACACTAATTCAAAAAGTTTTCAAATATTTTTTAATAAAAAGTTATGAGGTGGTTTTAGTGTCATTTAAATTATTTTTTATTACTTTGTTGTACCGCTCAATTATCACCTACGGTTTTGATACAAAATGGATATGAAAGTGGATATAGTTTCTGAGTAAATATTGAAGAACCAGATAGTGTAAATGATGGTTATAGCTTCTTTCTCAACCTCTTAAGGATCTTTTGGAGTTTCTCAAAAGCATACAAGTGAGTTGATGACTAGGTAAATGACTTATCCTTTCTAGAGGGGAAGAAACTTGAGCATAATCTTGGATGAAACACTTAAAGAACTTTGAAACTTTGGTTATTTGGGCATGGAATGAGGTTAAATATAATGTATATGATTATGGGATAAAACTTGAATATACTCTCACATTTTTAGAACTTGGGATAAAATAGTTATTAAAGGTTCTCTCATCAAATAATTTCAGAGCAAATGACATGAGTATTGATTAGTAGCCACTTAAAATATAATATACCTTTGAATTAAGTATATTCTTACTCTTAATTCATAAATACATTCTTTGTTTTGTAAGGCATCTACTGATAAAGGAATCCATTGTGTAATTGGATGATTAGTTGTTTTATATGAAATAACCAATCTATATAATGGAAAGATTGACAAATTCAATGTGGAAATGGAGGTGTTAGTTTTCCTTAGTTCAATAAATATTGCTAATAAATGAGCACATTAAAATTGCTATGCTAGCCCTTATATTTGATTTCAAAATCACACTAATTTTGTATTTGGTTTAAGTGCTCTATATGTATAGTCCCATTTTAGACACCCAAAAGTACCACTGACATATTAATTTCTTATGCTATGAAAAAACAGAATATGGTGTAGGTAGTTTTAGACTACTAATGAGATAATATAAACAAATATACCACAATTGATTTAAAGCATAAATGCCTATTCACTAAGTCCCACTAACTTGAACTTCCTCACTATGTAACTATATCCTTTGTCACTAAGTAAAAACCACTCCTCTTCCTTTCTATGGTTTGTGAATCACAGCTCCAAGGCATCCTCATGTGCCTAAGTTAGCCTTCTCGCTAAGAGTATATAATCAAGGTTGGGACTCTAATTTAACCTTTGCATATGCATCTACAGATGGCATCATATAAGATGCTTAGTATGTGATGCACCAAACTTAAATTTATGGTAATTAGCTTTTCTTTCATAAGTGCATTACGGATCACAACTTAAAAACCTCATTCATCCTAACTTTCATGTTCTCTCACTGGGTAAATTAGGTAATCAACTTATAATCATACATGGACTTCTCCATGTTTGGCCTTATGGGCCTTCTTTTTTAAAGTTAACTCTAGGAATTTAATTTTTTTGACACCAAGTCACTTAACTGTAAGTAAAAGAGACAATCCATTAGGGTTCAAATATAAATATAAAGGATTTATAAAAAAGAGTGCACCCCCTTTTTCAATTGGTTAAGGGATATTTGGGGTTAAGCATCTTTAGATTTAAGTAATATTTTACTGTATAACCTCCTAAATGAAAAGTCTAAATTCAAGAGATTATATTAATCCACGTAAAATGGTTCTATGCATAAGCAAATCCTCAAATTCCAAACTTCTATTTAAAGTAATTCTTATGAATATGTAGGGATTACTTCCCTAACCTTGATAGCTTAACTTTATAGCAAGCTTCAAAACTTCTACTCTAATTTCACATATAATTACAAACCAATTATACTTGGTTTCCTAATTACTATTTTACTCAAATTTGCCTTTGGAATAATAAGGGGATTTCACCCTTTAGTTTGTCAAGACCTCTCTTTTCACAAATTTTCTACTTATCATTTAGTTTAATATATACACTTTCATACTTTAGACTCTTTATAGTACTATGGTTGCAAGCAGTAAATCCTAGATTAAGTGACTAAAGTAAAATGAAAAATTTAATCTCAAAACTAAATTATTTATAATTCCAAAATAAGTGAAATTTACTTTATAACTCACATAGATTGGGAATATCAACTATTTGATCTCCTATGGGAGATAGAGTTAGCTTTTGAATATTTTACCAAGTCACCCCACTTGTCCATCCATTTTCAACTTAGCTTTGGACTCCTCAATCATCACCCACCATATAAGTAGAGCCTTCCTTAGTCATACTAGGCTTTAGACTCCTTAATCATCACCCACCACATAAATGTAACCTTCCTTAGTCATACTAGCCCTACTAGTTCCATTAGAATCCTTCCTTTACCATCCCATAGTGACTCACTAAACCCTCCAAGGTTTTGGAGATAATTATTTTAGGCTTTCACCCTTAGTCTCGAATTTGATCTCAAACTTAGTCTTGGACCTAGTTTTGGATTTAGTTTTGGATTTGGTTGTAGACTTAGTTTCAAACTGAGTCTCAGACTTAGATGTAAGCCACAATTTATTTTTTTCAATTTGTTAACTTACCTCGTCTATCCGACCACCACGGCCTTGGCTTTAGCCTTAGTTAAGTTTGTGAAACACAAAATCCCTAAGCCCCAAAGTGGAGCCGGAAGGGCGCCACATGGTAGTGGCCGAAGCAAAAGCCAAACGAGCGTAACATGTTTGGACTAAAAGCTCCGACTTGAAAGGTCGAGAGTGGGAGTGGAACTCCCAACAAAATGCTCGAGGAACAAGCGCGAAGCGAGCAATAAGCGAGGCTCTAAAAAGGGACCCAAAAGGACCAAGATGGAGTCCGCGATGGAGTCCGAGGTGGAGTCTGAGATGGAGTCTGAGATGGACCTGAGATGGAGTCCGAGATGGACCGAGACGGAGTCCGAGATGGAGTCCAAGGTGGAGTCCGAGATGGAGTCCGAGATGGACCCGAGATGGAGTCCGAGATGGACCGAGACGGAGTCCGAGATGGAGTCTGAGATGGACCCAAGATGGAATCCAAGATGGAGTCCGAGAAGGACTCGAGATGGAGTCCGAGGTCGAGACCGAGACCGGGACCGAGACCGAGACCGAGACCGAGACCGAGACCGAGACCGGGACCAAGACTGAGACCGAGGCCAAGGCCGAGACCGAGCCCGAGCCCGAGTCTGAGTCCAAGTCCGAGTCCGAGTTCGAGCTTGAGAAGGTGAAAGCCCAAAGCGTTCGTCTCCCAGACCCTAGGGGGTTTGGTGAGCTCCAAAAGTATAGTAAGGGGGAGGACTGTAGTGGAGCCAGTTTGGCCCAGGAAGGCCAAACCCAGTGTTGGGTAATGAACTGACCACTGGGAAGTCCAAGACTAGAGTGAATACGGACTGACAAGCGGGGTAGCTTGGTGAAGTGTTCAAGAGCCGGCTCTAGTTCCCCCGGGAGATCGATTGGCCGATGCTCCCAATCCAAGTGTGGGTGGCACTACCTACTTGGATACCTGGTGTGGCTCAACAGAACCTCGCTCTAAGCACATGGCTAAAGCACCTAAAGGCGGAAGGTGGGGAGAGTACCCGTGGGCCACGGTGTTCCGAAATATTGTCCCGAAGTCCCAAATGGGGGAAACCGGGCCTGTGGGCCTTGATCTGGTGGCAGTGCTG